AAGGCGGGCCTGAGGCAGGCGTGCAGGCTCGCTGGAAGCGGGGAAGGTGAGTCTGTGCCCCGCTGTGGAGTACCCCGCCGACCCCGGCGGTGGAAATACGTAGTAGTGATGAATTCCAGAAAAGGGCTGAGCTGAGAGGGCGATTAGAGCCGAAAGGAGCAGAAGCAGGGGTCATCCTACTCGTGGTGACCTAAAGGGGCCAAAGACACCACCGGGCGATCCACACTGCCCTCCCGGGGGCCAGCCTGAGGGAGTGCTCAGGGCCTGGGGAGTGGGGGGAAGCCTTGGCGCCTTCCCGCCAGAATTACTTTATCTGGCTCCTGCCCCGAAACACAAATAATGCAGACAGTGAGAAAATCAACGGTGCTGTCCCAACTCCCCAGTCAAGATTTCTTCCACTTTCCCCGCGCAAGCTGTTAAAAGCATGCTGCTCTCGTTTCTGTGTTGCCTTTCAGTCTTGGGACTGAAGGCAGTCTTGCCGTCTGTTGTATTTTCTTCATCCCTTTTTTAACAAGCTGAAAGTGAAACAATCAAGTGAAACTAGGGCAAGCCTTAATCTTTCCAAACTGGGTGGAGAGGCTAATTTGCTTGTGCAAAAAACAAACACACCTACACTGGCCTCCATAGGCCTCCAGGAGCCCTCAAAGGCTGCCAGTGATGGGAGGTCTAGGAGTTACAAAACTTAATGGAAAGTTTTCATCTGTATCACAGAACAACTAACATCCTCTGTCATTTTTTGGTTGTTACTGTGGACTTAAGCAGCTCAGAGCAGTGGCCCGTACATGTGCTGATCATACACTCTGTAGTGGTAGTGGTAATTTTATGTGTCTGATAATAAGAATGAAAATGACTAATAGCTGCAAATGAAATTGACTTTCTGAAAAGTACACGCAGTAAATAGGCGGTTTGGTAGTAGTGAACATTTGAGAACCATGAACCTGAACCCACGAAACCCCTGCCATTAAGTAGATTCCATCATCATTACCAATAGGAAAAACAATTATTTTTCGATTCATACTAGAATAGAAATCTTCCAGCTGTATCGGGGGTCTTTATCTAGTTGGCTTATTCGTATCAGGAGCCAAACAGTTCCCACATCTATAACTTCTTTTGCTTGAAATTCCAAAGCAAACTGAGGGTTGTGTCTGTTCTGTCATGACAGCCTGGGTGTGGGTGGGATATTTGGGGCCACCCTGGCAGGTGATGAATCAACCAAACCTATTGCCATCGAATCAATTAGACTCATCAAAGACTCAAGCTCATTGCTAATGAGTCGATTCCAACTCACAGTGACCCTAAAGAACAGGGTAGAGCTGCCCATGCGGGTTTCTGAAACTATAAACCTTTATAGGAGTAGAAAGCCATATCTTTCTCCCAAAGAATGGCTGGTGGTTTGGAACTGCTGGCCTTGCAGTTAGCAGCCTGACTTGCAACCCACTATACCACCTTTCTAACAGATAGCAATAGAGGGTAAAAACTCATGGATTTGAACGGCCAACTTTGCAACTCTGCCTAACCCACAGCACCACCAAGGCTCCTTGATGAACCTGAAACACCCCCATTCCCCCCCACCCCCAAATCCCACCACCATTGAATTGACTCTATATAGAGGTCTCGGGCTGGAAAGCTTTGAGGGTAGGCAACTTCATCTCTCTCCAGTAGAGCAGTAGGTGAGTTTGAATCTCAAACCTTGCAGGTAGCAACCCATTGCTTCCTGGAGAGGACCACACAGTATGTCTCTAGTTAGGTCTGAGGAAGTGTTCTTTCTGGGGATTTAAATTTTGTTTTTACTTTGATCTTTTAAAAAATTTGCATAAGCATATTCTGGATGACAGTAGTTCTAAATCTCAATATTACCGTAGAGAGCCAGCAAAAAGGAAAAAAAAAGAGGAAGCCCCTCTATGAGATGAACTGACACAGTAGCTACAAAACTGGGCTCAAACATAACAATTGTGGGGGTGACCCAGGACCCCACAGTGTTTTGCCCTGTTCCGGCCTTCAGGCTGCTGTGAGTTGGCACAGACCTTACTGAACAACAACAAAACCTGCCTCTCCATTTGCATGTGTGTGAGTGCTGCTGCTGCTGGCTGCTCGGGGAGAAGGAGAGAAGGACAGTGGGGGATTTCAGAAGGAAGTTGTGTTCCATGTGCCAAGCGAAGCCAAATGGCATTATGGGCCTGCCCATCCCAGTAGTTCTACCAAAGGAAAGTGAGACGACTGAGCGAGTACAGGTCATGTGGTGTCAGGGGCTTGCTGAACTCCAAGGATGCTGAGCCTGGCCAGGAAATCCCATGGTCACCATAGAAGAAAGATGACCTCCTTTCAGCAAAGGAGCATCCGTCATCACCTTGAATTGCTAGAATGCTGTCGACAGGCATGGGATTTGTTTTTGCGTTTCATTGGTATTCGTTTTGTAGATCTGCTTCGGGTTTTTTCCCCTAGTGGTACAAGAACTATAAATAATAAGACTTTCTAGCCCTTGTTTATATTTGTAAATTTTAGTAGCATCATAATAAAAATATTTTAAATTCACTGGGAGTTTCGGGACTCCCTGGGTGTTGCAAATGGTTCGTGTGCTCAGCAGTTAACCGAAAGGGTGGAGCTTAGGTCCACACAGAGGGGCCTCAGAAGAAAGGTCTGGCAAACTACTTCCCCCCCAAATCAGCCATGCAAAGCCTGATGGGGCACAGTGGTGCTTTGACACTTGAAGGCTCTCCAGGGAGTCGGAATCAACTCAGGTCACTGGAGAGTTTTCAGGATTAATTTTTCCTGGGAAAAATGACTTCATACACTATTCACGTTTGAGAAACAGTGGGCTAACAGGGTTATTAATTGAATATTTTACCAGCTAGAAGATCAGAGAGGTTCTTAGTGGCTCAGAGAGGAGGAATCTACTCCCTTACACTTTACAGAGAAAGTCTTCAGAAGCACTCAGGAAGCAAGTTTGAGAAAGCTAGATTCTCATCATCTACTCAGATTATCAGGACATCCCTGGTAAAGTGGAGGGGCAGCGAAAGAGGACGGCCCCCAATGAGATGGATTGGCACAGTGGCTGCAATAATGGGCTCAGGCAGAAGAACCATTGTGAGGCTGGTGCGGACATGGGTGGTGTTTCCTTCTGTGGTGCATAGGGTTGCTGCGGGTCAGAACCAGGTGCCCCAATGGCATCTAACAGCACGTTATCATCGCAATATAAGCTCAGGCTTTAGAAGATCCTCCGTCTGTTATGAACTGTCATATTGATACATAAAGCTACTTTGTTTAAAACGCAGATATGCTGTGCTTCCCCAAGCACGATGAATGAGAGCCCTGAGGAATGGCTATGATGAAATATGAAATCACAAGCTGAGGAAATGGGCCTCAGAAAATTGCCTGGTTGGAGAGTCACCAGTTCCTACCGCTCCATGACTCACCGTCATCTTCCTTTCCCTAAGCCTCAAACCCACCCCCACTGCCAATAAACTGGGGTGAACCACCTCGGGTTCCCTCTCTAGTTATTGCGATGCTGTGAGAACGAAAACAGGTTCTAGGTAGAGATGCTAATAAATCCTTCAATAAAGAACGAGACTGAAACAAAGCAGGCTTCGATAGAGGCTATTTCGAAAACCTGGACCGAATGAAAGCGACAACCGAGTCATCAGAGGCCATCTTCTGGGGACTGTGGGTTGACTATCATCTAAATCATCTCTCAGATGCTTGTTAAAAATGCAGATTCCTGGCTGCCACCTGGGAGCAGACACCTTGACCGTGGTGGTTCTAATGTTACCGACCGGTGAAAACCACTGATTTCAAACATTCAACCATTAAAGGAAAGTCCATGGAAATCTAAGGCTCTACGTGCTCCGGGAGTGTTTAAAAGCAGAGAAAGGTACTTTGAAGACTGAGGGACACCCTCCCCAGCCATGGTGTTCTCTATCGCCTCATCTGCAGGTGAAAGTTGGGCTTTCACTAAAGAAAACCAAAGAAGAAGGGGTGCATTTGGATGATGATACTGGCAGAGAACACTGAGCATACCAGGGACTGCCCCCAAACAAGCAGATCTGTCCTGGAAGAAGTACAGCCAGAGGGCTCCGGAGAGGCAAGGATGGTGAGATTTCATCTCACAGACTTGAGACATGTTGTCAGGAGAGCCCAGCCCCTTGGAAAGGACATTGGCTGGGCAAAGAAGAGTAGCGACAGAGAGGAAGGCCCTCGACAAGATGGATGGACACATGGCTGCAACCAGACCCTCACACGTAAGAAGAGCGCTGAGGCGGGCACAGGACGGGCACTGTTTCGTTCTGTTATATATATATAGTTGCTCTGAGCCAGGATGGCACTCGATGGCACTTAGCAAGAACAACACCTGCTTCAGGGAGAGTCTGGAGAGTCTTTGGAGGCCACCTCTGTCCAGAGAAAGCAACTGACAACTCCAACTGCTTATCACGAAGCAGGACTGCCCGAGCAGTTGTTTTCACCAGCTCAGAGAGGGGAATGGGGCTGGGGGGTGGGGAGGAGGGAATCTCTCTTTTGCTGGATTTCTGGGAGTCAGCAAAGAGCCACTACAAATGTGGGCCTGTGGCCTGGGCTGTTTCCACAGCCTCCCAGCCTCTCTCTTGTTCCTCTGGCCTGTCCCCTTCCCACACACAACGCAAGGATCTACTAAGGAGCGGGAGGCGGCAGCCAGGACTGAGATTGGACTGAGATGTAAGGTCGCGCTCATCACAAAAGCAGTGAGTTCTGACACCTCCCGACAGTTCGCTCAGGGAGCCGA